CTTGCTAAATTTGCCAACGATCCCAATCAATTTAAGAAAAATTTATTTTTTGACCAATTTTCTCATTTTTTGTAAGGGGGTGCATCGTCTTTTTTTGCGAAAAATGCGAAAAGCTAAAAATTTCTAGCTTTTAACGCCAATGGATTGCAAATTAAGCCACGAGCTCAACGAGGTATGACATTCTTCGATCTGACGTATACTTTTTTTACAGAGGCCAAAAAACTGGATTTTTAGTGCGAAAAATGGAGTTCCGATTTTAGTCAAAAATACGAAATTTAGATTTTAGTCAAAAATGCGATTTTTCTTTCCAGTTTTTCAATCGTAGTTTGGTCAAATCAAGGCGTACAGCTAAAAGACCGACTGTTTTGAACAGCTTGCTAAATTTGCTAACAATCACAATCAATTTAAGGAAAATTTATTTTTTGACCAATTTTCGCATTTTTTGTAAGGGGGTGCATCGTCTATTTTTGCAAAAAAAGTGAAAAGTTAAAAATTTTCAGGTTTGAATGCCAATATATTGGAAATTAAGCAACGAGCTCAACGAGGTATGACATTCCTCATTCTGACTTATATTTTTGTTATGGCAGCCAAAAAACGGAATTTTTATGGCGAAAAAAAGGGTTCAAATTTTTGTCAAAAATACGAGATTCAGATTTTTGTCAAAAATGCGACATTTTTTTTCGGTTTTTCCATCGTAGTTCAGCCAAATGAAGGCGTACAGCTAAAAGACCGACTGTTTTGAGCAGCTTGCTAAATATTCTAACGATCCTCAGCACTTTTAGGAAAATTTATTTTTTGACCCATTTTCGCATTATTTGTAAGGGGTTACATCACTTATTTTTGCGAAAAATGGCAAAAACCAAAATTTTCTAGGTTTGAATGCCAATTTATTGAAAATTAAACAACGAGCTCGACGAGGTATGACATTCCTCATTCTGACTTATATTTTTGTTATGGCAGCCAAAAAACGGAATTTTTATGGCGAAAAAAAGGGTTCAAATTTTTGTCAAAAATACGAGATTCAGCTTTTTGTCAAAAATGCGACATTTTTTTCGGTTTTTCCATCGTAGTTCAGCCAAATGAAGGCGTACAGCTAAAAGACCGACTGTTTTGAGCAGCGTGCTACCTATGCTAACGATCCCAATCATTTTCAGGGAAATTGATTTTTATACCCATTTTCGCATTTTCTATAATCGGTTTATTTGGGATTCAGATTTTGGTCAAAAATACAAATTTTTTAGTGATTTTTCAATCGTAGTTTAGTCAAATCAAGGCGTACAGCTAAAAGACCGACTGTTCTGAACAGCTTGCTAAATATGCTAACGATCCTCATCACTTTTGGGAAAATTTATTTTTTTACCTATTTTCGCATTTTTTGTAATTACATTGCATTACATTACATTGCATTTTTACATCACTTATTTTTGCGAAAAATGGCAAAAATCAAAATTTTCTAGGTTTGAATGCCAATTTATTGGAAATTAAGCAACGAGCTCGCCGAGGTATGACATTCCTCATTCTGACTTATATTTTTGTTATGGCAGCCAAAAAACTGAAGTTTTATGGCGAAAAAAAGGGTTTAAATTTTTGTCAAAAATACGAGATTCAGATTTTGTCAAAAATGCGACATTTTTTTTCGGTTTTTCCATCGTAGTTCAGCCAAATCAAGGAGTACAGCTAAAAGACCGACTATTCTGAACAGCTTGCTAAATAAGCTAACGATTCCCATCACTTTTAGGAAAATTTTTTTTTTACCCATTTTCGCATTTTTTGTAAGGGGTTACATCACTTATTTTTGCGAAACATGGCAAAAATCAAAATTTTCTAGGTTTGAATGCCAATTTATTGGAAATTAAACGACGAGCTCGACGAGGTATAACATTCCTCATTCTGACTTATATTTTTGTTATGCCAGCCAAAAAACGAAATTTTTATGGCGAAAAAAAGGGTTTAATTTTTTGTCAAAAATACGAGATTCAGATTTTTGTCAAAAATGCGACATTTTTTTTCGGTTTTTCCATCGTATTTCTGCCAAATCAAGGCGTACAGCTAAAAGACCGACTGTTTGAGCAGCTTGCTAAATATGCTAACGATTATGATAAATTGCCAAAATTAAAAATTCGAGTGTTTTTCATGAAATATTTATAATGATTGCCAGATACGTAGAGACTGAACTAACCTGATTCGCCATCTCTTTCTATTTGCAGTCACATCTTCTGGATGGGCGACCTCAACTATCGCATTCAGGAGCCGCCCGGGCAGCAGCGACCAGGTCCGCTAAGCGATGCCCAGACCTACGAGCTGCTCCTGCAGTACGACCAGTTGCGCCAGGAGATGCGGCGCGGCAAGTGCTTCGAGGGCTATACCGAGGGCGAGATCAAGTTCCGGCCGACGTACAAGTACGATCCGGGCACGGACAACTACGACAGCAGCGAGAAGCAGCGGGCGCCGGCCTACTGCGACCGGGTGCTCTGGAAGGGCACACGCATCGAGCAGCTGGCCTACAACAGCATCATGGAGATACGCCAGAGCGATCACAAGCCGGTGTACGCGGTGTTTCGCGTAAAGATCAAGACGCGCGACGAGGTCAAGTACAAGCGGGTCCAGGAGGAGGTTCTAAAGGCGGTGGACAAGCGGGAGAACGACAACCAGCCGCAGATTAATGTGGAGAAGACGGTGATCGATTTCGGAACCGTGCGCTTCAACGAGCCGACCACGCGAGACTTTAACGTCTACAACAACTGCCCGCTGCCCGTGGACTTCAGTTTCAAGGAGAAGGACATCCACGCCATCTGTGAACCCTGGCTGCATGTCGATCCGCGCCAGGACTCGCTGCTGATCGACTCCGCCCGCAGCATCCGGCTGAAGATGCACGCCAATGTACGCACCATTGCGGGTTTGCTGCGCAAGATCCGCGCCAGCGACAACTTCGATATACTCATCCTGCATGTGGAAAACGGACGGGACATCTTCATCACGGTGACCGGCGACTATCAGCCCAGCTGCTTTGGCCTCTCCATGGAGACGATGTGCCGTACCGATCGGCCCCTCTGCGAGTACTCCCAGGATCAGATCAAGCAGCTGGTGAGCGTGGGAACATGAAATCATGAAATTGCATTTACCTTGGTATATTATTGAACAGTCAAGGGATCCTCATGTTTCATAGAAATTTCTCTTATTTGATGTATAATTATTATGTATCAACTCAATGTGCCTTGCAGATGAACAACGAATCGCCGGAGTACCGCGTGACCATGCCGCGGGAGTTCTTTCTGCTGATCGACTATCTGTATAGGCAGGGCGACAAGCAGGTGGGCGCCTTCCCGACCTATGACTCGCGCCTCTCCCTCGGCGCCCAGTTCAACTCGGTGCGCGACTGGCTGGACACCTGGTCGGATGAGCCGTTCCGTAAGTGGCTTCTTCTGAGAGTGTTCCCATCCCCATACAAACTCTAATTATACGCCTACAATCTGCAGCTGCCAATGCGGAGACTGCTGCGCAGGCGCTTTTGCTTTTGCTGGATCTGCCGGAGCAGGCACTGCTGGAACCGGTTGTAGAGAATCTGCTGGAGTGCACCAACAAGTCGCAGGCCATGGACTACATCTCGCTGCTGAGTCCACCAAAACGGAATGTTTTCATGCACCTGTGCATGTTCCTGCGCGCGGGCATCGAGTGTCAGCATTACGAAATCCAGCAAGTCGGTGCGTAGAGTTGGCCCTTAATGCTATGTATCAGCCATATAACGTTCTTCCTCCCGGACAGCGTCCACCTTTGGCCGCATCCTGCTGCGCAGCACCGAGCGCGCCGCCTGGATGGACTACCACAGTCGCTGCATCCAGTTCATGCGGCTCTTCATCGACTCGGACGCCGAGACAATGGACAACGGCAATGAGGGCTCCGGCACAGGAACGGGATCCGGATCTGGGACCAGGGCCGGACTGCAGGCATAGGCGCCGGCGCCAAGTCCCAGAATCGAGCGATAGTTGTAGTCTGTTGATAGTTAGCTACCGTACGCATAGTTTTAGGGCTATTTATTTTACTTGTTGGTACTTTGTTGGCACTAAGCATTTATATTTTCTTTGTTTTACCTGTTAATTGTTTGTGCCCGCCTTCCGTTCATTCCAACTCGATTGCCCCCGCCTCACATCCCGGTTCACCTGGTTATAATGCATCATACATCACACAAGCAGAAGGTTATAAACTGACTACTGAAGCCGACCGATTGTGCAGAGGCTAGTGGAGCAGGAGGCCAACGTAAAAATAAATTAATTATGTAAATAAGTTAAACGAAATGTGCTGCACACCCGTTAAATCAATGTTTAGTTGAGCACGATTGCTTGTTAGTTTAGATTAATGAGGAATTCCGCTGGGAATCTCGTGACCCCTTACACCCCGGTTTCAGTTGCAACTGAAAATAAATAACGCCGTTACATACAGTATCAAAATAGAGACTTTCTGAATATACATTTTAAGACTCCAAATAAGATGGGACTTTTCTGTCACTATTTATGTGCCAGTATAAAAGTAGGTTCATACGTTTTAGCTGTCAAATTGGCAAACTTTCAAAAATTGCGCTTCAGATCGATAGCGGTCGATAGCAGCGATCAGCTGATTGAAACGCCTACGCTAAAATACCAAAAAATACCGATAAGTGGAAATCGGGCTTGTCCTCCGTGCTGGCTTTTCCGTGGTATCTGGCTAGTATTTTTATACCGGGGGCTTCATTGGCTTTTTTTTTGTGTAAATATGTATATGTATGTGTACATTCCCGCTGCTGATGTTTTCTAGGGATGCAAAAACATCGATAGTGAGTACATCGATGTTTTCAACATCGATGTTTGTAAGCATCGATATATCGCTAAAACATCGAAATTTCGCGAAAACATCGAAATTTTGCTAAAACCTCGAAATTTCGCTAAAAACATCGAAATTTTCTTCAATTTATGAATATATACCATAAAACCCTCCAAATATTAATTAAAATATTGTTTTTATGAAACTTATTATAAACTTATATTTATTCAAACAAAACAACAACAATATTTTCAGAAACAAATAAAAAAGCATAATCTTAATACATATTTTAACGAAATCATAAAGAAAAATGGAATCACATTATTTCAGTTCAGTTCACTTCAGTTCAGTTCAGTTCAGTTCAGTTCAGTTCTTACTTATCTTACTTATCTAATCGATATCTATATCTTAACTAATAATCCACTGGTTTTTCTGTAAAAACAACAGCATGTTCAAAGTTTTAGGTTTAAGTCGAGATCTCTTTTCGTCCGCGATTTGTCCTGCCTTGCTGAAAGTCCTTTCCGAGTCAGTAGATGTCGCAGGTATACATAAATATTTTAACGCGCACTGCGCAAGAGTGTTAAAATTATGAAATAACAACTGCTGCGACTGGAACTTACTTGTTATGTGCAGAAACCTGTCCATTGTGCCGAGAGGAACCGCCCTAATATGTTTTACCTGTATCAAACTGTAACAATACTTAATAAAATGGAAAAATGTGCACTTTTTCCCAATTTACGTACCACTTGCTTTGCGTGTGTATCTCTTAGTGATAACATCGATGTTCGAAAAAAAGCATCGATACATCGCTGTTTTAAAAAACATCGATAGTATCGATAGTGACATCGATGTTTTTGCATCCCTAATGTTTTCGCTCATCTTCCATTCTCCATCTTGCATCTCGCTTTTTTACTGACACTTACGCTGAGGCTATCTCCCTTTTTTACTGACACTTACGTTGGCTTACGTTCTGCCGACACTTACGTTTTTCTGCCTCTGTTTTTACGTAAAAACGTAAAAACACAACACAAAACACAACACACACCTGGGGGGGAAGGAACGCGTCGGTTTAAAAATCAAAGTTATTTTTGTCGTGGAAAAACTGCTGTTGAAGTGATTCCTGTGCTGGTGGGTGGCTAATATTAAGTTGGTGATATAGTCCAAAGTATTGCTTTTCGCTTAAAAATATAATCCGTGGGAACAATTACACTTCGTTTGGATTGATTATCCCGTCGTGGTTATGGGGGTTATGGATAACGTGGATAACTAAGTGAAAGAACAGAACGCCGAGTTTAAGTATAATGCGACACTAACGGACTCGAAATCAAGCCAATGGATTGCGCCGCGTTCCCCATGCATCCCAAAATGGACGAGCAGCTGGCCCGGACGTTTGCCGCCAACGAGGAGGAGGAGGAGCGGCACATTCAGAAGGTGCAGAACGCCTTCCTCTACTACGGGTGAGTATTGTTGTTGGGGCACATGTTGAATGACCGCTTACCGCCTACCGGCTAACGGTGAATGGGGCGGTGGGTGGCTGCCCAGGGGGGCGGAACGGCAGCGGGAGAGGCGACATGTGCAGACAAGCTGCTGACAAACTCCCGTTTAATTTGGGGCCTGTGCGTTCATGTCAGTGATGGTTGTGCGGGGGTGTTCACGCCATATCTAGCTTGCTAGCTAGCTTTTTAAGGATAATATTTTAAATTATCGCGGTTCTGGTTTAGGTTTTCAATTTATTTTGAGCCCGCTCAAACGTTATCTCTACCTTTAAATGTCTAGAAGACATTGTTTATTCAAAACAAATTAATAGATTGGAACATTAACAAGAAAGTTTTGATTTTTCAATACGTCCGGTTCCCAAACTAAATTATAAAAACGTTCAAAAAGAAAAAAAAAATTATAAATAATTTTTTGTGATAGCTTTTCAACCATAATTACGCAGACATAACTTCTAGTGGGAAACCCCGTCATCTCTGGTGATAAGCGTGCTTGTAGGCCTTAAGTACCATTGGCTGATAATGGAAATTAATTAATTTCTCCTATGCAGGCCATATGCGTGTCAGCGGCTAAAGCGCTCTGTGGATTACCTGAACAGCCTGTCTGCGGAAGATCAAATAATGCTGGCCAAGTACCGGGGGCATTTGGAGTGTGTCCGCACGTGCATCGATCGCAATCAGGCGGTTATCCGTGAGATTTTGAGGGAGCGCGTCCTTTATCCACCGGAGGAAACGGGCGAGAATCCTTCGGCGGACCGCTGGGAGTTCGACGAGCCGCCGCCAAATGTGAGGCACGGTGATATGGACCAGGTAAACGACATACATACGGAGCATTCTCTTCATCCTCACCCAAAAACCCATCCACGAAACTTTTCATTTCATGATAAACAAGCTCTACCCAAAATGACTATTCCATATTTCCTACATTTTTGTAACTAATTTGATCATTTTTTTTTAGTTATTTAATTTCACAATTATTTGTAATGCTTCAGTGATCATTTTTGAATTGCCTTCTTAATTTATGTTCAATATGTTTTAGTAGAACACATGATTTTGAGAATTTTAGTTTTGTAGATTGAAAACATTGTGTGCCGTTGGTTTTCAAGTTATAAATAAACAATTTTTACTTTAAATTTGTTATAAACTTACTATTTGAATAGCGTTGTTTCTTAACTTCAATATGCAATTAAAAACTATAACAATTGTAGACGCTTGATTATCCTCCATTATATTCGCAAACCAAAATTCTTTTTTTCCTCATTTTATTATCTATTGGCCATCATATTTCTTTTCTTTATGTTTCTCTTCCATATCCGCACCTCGTATCTCGCACCCGCTCTAATCCAACTCGCAGAATGATATTCCATTCGATGAAGCTGACGTTGAACCTCTAAAAATTTTAAAGGCCCAGTCGACGTTGAAGTTGATTGCGCGCGACTGGAGCACCGATGGCGCCCTGGAGCGGGAGCAATCTTATAAGCCAATCATCGACAGCATCGTGGAGTACTACAAGCCCGGCGATTAGTGAGTGATTCCTTTGTTCAATCCAGTTGATCTACTGTTTTTACACTCGCCACCTTAACTTTTATTTGAACAGCGAGCTGAAGGAGATTAAGATCCTGGTGCCTGGAGCGGGACTGGGACGCCTCACCTACGAGCTGGCCTGCTTGGGATACTCTTGCGAGGGCAACGAGTTTTCCTACTTCATGCTGATCGCCTCCAACTTTGTCCTCAACCTGTGAGTCGAGTTCAATGTTGGTTCTGCATTTAAGGCTCTCCCTAAAGCTATTTAATTGACATGTTTTGGTGTTCCTTTCGGCAGGTGCGATTACGAGAACAAGTATGTGCTGTATCCTTGGGTGCACCAGTATGTTAACAACCTGAGGCGCGAGGACCAGGTGACCGCCGTTCGCTTTCCCGACGTCTGCCCCCTGAAGAATCCGCCCAAGGGCCACTTTGAGATAGCAGCAGGAGATTTTCTGGAGGTTTATAAGACGCCAAACGCCTACAACTGCGTGGCCACGTGCTTCTTCATTGATTGTGCCAATAACGTTATTGACTTTATACGCACCATTTACAAGTAAGCTAGATAAGATCCGTAAACTTTACCTGTTTTCATTTTCCCACTTTACTTGCAGAATTCTTGTGCCTGGCGGCATTTGGGTGAATCTCGGCCCGCTGCTGTATCACTACAGCGACGTTAGCGGTCAGAACAGCATTGAGCCCACGTTCGAGGACCTGTGCATAATCATGGAGAGCGTGGGATTTGTGATCGAGAAGTCCCGCACCGGTATCCGTACCAAATATGCTCAGAACCCATCGTCGATGAAGCAGAGCGAGTACCAGAGCCTCTTTTGGGTTTGTCGCAAGCCGGATCCGTTTGAGGAGCAGCGGGGCAAGCGTAAGGCCTCTCGGGAGCCACATGATCTCATTGTGCGCGAGGACAGCGAGGAGGAGGTGGAGCAACAGCAGCAGCAGCAGGAACGGGCAGCAGAGAAGCACCCAGAACAGGAGCAGCAGCTGCTGAAACAGCAGGTCACGTCCAACGATGAGACTGAGATGGAGGCCCAGCCAACGTGATAGCCATGGAATCCAAACCCCAAACGCCCCAACCGAACTCAAATCCCAATCCAAACCCACCTACAAATGCCATCACCACCAATACCTTAATCACCGCGTCATAGGCAAGACAGGGAACTCGAATCACACCAGAATGATTTCAGGTTGATTAACTGCTTTACCTCTCTTCTATTATACACATTTAGAGTTGCTAGATTTTAAATTTGTTCAAATCTACAAGTTTTAGGAAATTCCTTGCTCTACTATCGTGCAAAGTCAAAAGTGAGAGTATTGAAATATAGGCGAATCAAATATACCAAAACAAATTTTAGAAAATTTCTTGCTCCAATATCGTGCAAAGTCAAAATGAGCGTGTTGAAATAGGCCAACCAAATGTACCAGAACAAAATTTATTATGCAAATTCAAAAGTGAGAGTTTCGAAATAGGCCAACCAAATATACCAAAACAAAACATTAAGTATAAATAAATAATTTTTATTTGTTCATTTAGTGGCTTTAATTTACTAACTCGATTTGATAGGAAACACCAATGTTCTATTTTAAACTGAAAATGTAAATACTTTTTCTGCGAATGTTAAATAATTCATTTCGGGAAGTCTTTTATTTAATGATGGATATGTCTACAAAACAATATGTACATATATCAGTCACGTTCTCAATTTCTGATTCATATGTTAACTTTAAACAACTCTTTCGACAATGGACTTGAGGTCAGAATTTGTCTGATCATTTGACCCTAACGCTGTACAAAGGTTTAGTAAAAAGAGAGGTCATCATTGATATTGGAACTTTAATCACTAGCATGGTCCCAGCAATCAATCCTCCCCGTGCGAGTCCTGGCGCACCAAATCGCCCCACCCAATTACATAGTTCTATTCCAGACGCGCAGCCGCAATCTTTGGATCAGCTCTCTGTGCTGGTCGAGAAGGTGCGCCAATTGTCCGACCGCCACTGGCAACGTGTGTCCAGGTGGCGCAGTTTGATCTCCGCATAAATCTTCTCAAAATGAGGGCCATTCCTGCGAGCACTCTCCGCCAGAATCTCGAACCAGATGGCCTCGCTCAGTTCGGTGCTGGTGTGGCACATGGAGATGCGTGTGGAACCGAGCACACGTTCTCGGAACTGACGCACCAGTTCGCCCAGGCCCGCATGGAAGGCGGTTGCTCCATTGCCGCTCACCTCGGGCAGCAGAAAGGTGTTCAGACATCGCGCCTCGCCCCTGCCCCGGTAAATGGGCAGTCCGGTGGGCCCGTAGAGGTACGCCAGCTTCTTGTCCAGTCGCTCACGCTGCTGCGGCTCGAAATCTAGCCGCTGGGCACGAGTACGCACGAACAGCACCTGCGGCAGATGATCCCGCACGTAGCCCTTGCAGGGAAACGTCGGTCTCAGGCGAAGGGCAGCGTTGATCAGACGCAGTTGCTCCACGGCCAAGCCGTCAATGGCCAAAATGAGGACATGACACACGCTCAGGAGTTGTGCCATAGCCGACAGAGAGTGCAGGTCCTGGTGATCGGGCTCCTTGCCCACTGGCAGCAACGGTGGCGTGTCCAGCAGAATGTGACGCTCCCGCGTGATGAAGAACTGGAGGTTTTCGGTGCGGGGACGCAAAATGCTCTTTTGGCCGTTATTTGGTTTGTTCTTGTGCCGGGTGGCAAAGATGCACTCGTCGGCCTCTGGAGAGAACAAATGTTGGTAGTAGTCGTAGTCCAGCGACCGCTCAGCAGCCAGAAGATTTAGCAACGTACTCTTCCCGGAGCACTGCCCACCCAGGATGCCGATTACGGTGAAATCTGTGTTGGTTTTATGGAAGAGTTTGCGAGCATTGGCATTGAAGACGCCGTTGGCCACGATGAGGGGTGTGGGTCGGTTCATCCGCGGCGGCTGCAGCTCCTGGATGGCACTTGGTGCTCCGGCCGCTGTGCCAGTAGGTCCGGCGCCACCACTGCAGTTGCCCTTGTCGCGGCCATTCGGTGCAGAACTAACAAGTGCAGCACAAACGGAGGTGGATGGCACGGTGGACATGTGGCTGCCCTGGGCAGGAGCTCCATCTCCCACTCCGCCTCCTCCGACCATGGTCAACTGACACCTGTCCGCCGGCCGCATATCACTTGTGCGATTGATGATGATCGTCTTGATGGCCGCCGGTGCATCGGGATAGCAGCTACCGCCACTGGGTGAGGCATCCGCCTCCTTTTCCCTCTCCAGTTCTCGATCCCTGTCCCACTCTTTGTCCCGGTCGCGATCCTTTTTCATCAGAATTTTTGGCTGCACCATGCGGGCGTCCTCGCGCCGCGCAATGGTCACGGGGGCCAGGAGGCCGGAGGAGATGTCATCTCGTTTCTTGTTCCGGAAACGGCGGCGGGGTTCGGCCATTCGGAAGCCGATTAATTGGGGTTTAACTAAATAAACCCCTTAGTTTGAACACGTTTGTGGTCAACGTCAGATATTGTGCGTTTTGCAACACTGGTCGAAACATAAACAGCTGTGCTGTTGCCATGGAAATATTAGCCGTAAAAAGCTAAAATAGCTTAAATCTAAATATACATAAGTAAGGAAAAAAATCTGTTACATCGAAAATGTCATGTTATCTATATATATATATGGACTCCATAAAAGGCAATCCTTTATTTAAAATAATGGTTTCTAAATTCAAAGAAAAGAATAACACTTTAAAAAAAAATAAGATAAGTTGCTATAAGAAATTGTACAATTATCAAAGCTAGATTTAGCTTGAAAGAAGGTAAGCTGTCACCATAAACGCGCCCTTTGCCAACACTGCTGCCAGTGCATCGTGGACGTCCGAACCTTATTTGTTTATTTATTGTTTTTATCGAGGGAAGGCATGCCAATTGTGGTGGTCACGGGTCTGCCGGCCAGCGGTAAGTCCACCCGGGCCCGCCAGCTGCGGGATCACTTCGTGGAGCGCGGCAGGAAGGTGCATCTGATCAGCGAAAATGAGGCAGTGCCAAAGGCTCTCTTTGGCAAGAATTCGCATGCCGGGGACTCACAAAAGGAGAAGGTGGTGCGCAGCGATCTCAAGTCGGAGGCCTCGCGGCATCTCAATAAGGAGGACCTGGTCATCCTGGACGCCGGCAACTACATCAAGGGTGAGCTCTAATTGAGATTCTACTCCGGGGAAAGGCTCTAAGTTGGAGATTTCCTTGCAGGCTATCGCTACGAACTGTACTGCATGACCAAGGCGTCCAGGACCACCCAGTGCACCCTGTTCTGCTGCATTCCCCAGGAGCAGGCGTGGACCTTCAATAGCCAGCGGACGGAGGCGGATGAGTTGCCCGGGGACAGCGAAACGGACCAGAAGGTGGACAACTCGGACGTGCCCTACACCCGCGAGACATTCGATGCCCTGTGCATGCGCTACGAGGAGCCACAGAGCAACAACCGCTGGGACAGTCCCTTGTTGGTGGTCCTGCCCGAGGACACGCTTGATGTGGAGGCCGTCTACAAGGCTCTGTACGAGACGCAGCCCCTGCCGCCCAACCAGAGCACCCAGAATGTAAGCCTGAACAAATCTATACAAGATCAGCAGCAAGGCTCCCAACTAATGGCGTTTCCCATCTTTTGCAGCCACCGTTGGGTGCGACCAACTACCTGTTCGAGCTGGACAACATCATGCAGTCGATCATCAAGGAGATCCTCGGCGCTGTCAAGATCAAGGCCTTCGGCCAGCTGCGCATCCCGGGGAGCAGTTGTCCCGTGAAGGTGGCCACCTCGATGAACGCCCTCCAGCTGAACCGCCTGCGCCAGAAGTTCATCACGAGCACGTGTCGTGCCAGCCAGACGGCGCCCACTCCGCTGGAGCAGGTGCCGCAGCTGTTTGTTCAGTTCATTAATGCCAACACGATCGGCTGCTAGCGCCGTGGTTGTGATTGTGGCATGACAAATGCAAGGGAGTCCTCAGGGTGTTTTGGAAAATATAAAAAAAGGTTAAAAAAAACTTTAAAAATAAATAGCTTGAATAATAATACTTCCTAGTTATTTGTATTTTTTAAATGGTGGTTTTTTATATTTAAATATAGTTAAACGGTTTAAAACAAGGGACTTAAAATTTTCAAATTTACAATATATGAACTAAAAGTTGTATTCAATTTGTATAGAGTGGGAAGGTGTCTCGGCTTTTAGTCCTTCTTAGGGAAGGTGTCCCCGCTTTATTATTTTGTTGGTCAGATTTTTTGTTATGCTTATATCAAAAACTCTCAACATTCATGAACTTTTCTATTAGAAATAATCTTTATGTCTCATTTATTAGCACCAGGTCAAGAAATTCGTTTCCTGTTGAAATTAAAAAAGGTTTATGGTAAAACTTGGAATTTTTTTGTTTTTTCAGCTTTTATAACACTTTTTAGCAAAAAACACTTCAGGAAAAATCCTAAGAAAATGTAATTAATTTTTTAAAATGGCTTACAGTGACGTAAAAATTATAGAACATTTTTATTAAATCTACTTTTTAAAATTGATTGATTTTAAAATTAACGGTCGCTTAAGCAAAAACAAAAACAGAGGCAACGAACTTTTCTCTTTTGAAAGAGAAGCGTGATAGCTGAAGAATTCGCTCTGGGCGACTCTCTTAAGGCGCCTAAGAGAGCCGCTAAGAGGAGATTCTGCCTTGACACGCTCTCGAAGAGAACACCCGCACTTCTCTTCTACCGCCGCGCTGCAGCTCTGTTTTACATTCACCGTTCGACGTTCGCAGCGAGTTAGTCGCGCGCCCGGAAAGCAAACGCTTCGAAGACCAAACGCTGTTTCCGTTGTTGGTTCCTTGGTTCCACAAAAATAATAACAACAAAATCAAGAAATAACTTTTTTTTTACGTTTTTTGTTGCCTCAACAGAGTTTTTTCACCACCAAAGATTGGATATATCAAATAAATTTAAGGGCCCCATCATCGCCCCCACTCTCTCCATCTCGCTCTAGCAGCAAAGTGCATTGTGTATATGTGTGTGTGTGTGTGCGACAATTTGACAAGTGCAACAACAAGCATTATTAAAAAATTTATATAAAAAAAAGGTCTAGAAAGACAACAACAAGAATACATATATTTACCTTCAAAGATCCTAAAAAAATTGGCTTTGTTTTTGTTTTCTGTGTGTGCGTGTGTGTGTGCGGCTCAAAAATGTAAAATGCATAATGCAACTTTGCAACTGACATTTTTTTAATACTATTTTTTATGTGTGTGCTCTGTTGCAGCTGACGTTTTCCCCACCCAAAAAATAATGCAAATATATAACTAAAAAGCCCCCTGAAAAAATCAACAGCTGCCAATCTTGAAATCTTGAATCAACAACCTTAAAACAAAACGAATGAAAATACACTAATGTGAAAACATTATAAGCTAAAGTGGTAATCAAAGGTGGTTTTCCAAAACCCAAACCAAACCCCAAAAATACAAAAAAGAAGAAGCAGAGCCTGTGTCTTGCTGTGAGTGTGTTGCAAAAAAAAAGTGATTTAAGCTAACCGCAAGTCAACTTCTAACGTTAATCGAAGCATCGCTTGCTGGCAGAGCATGGATATCGCCCCAGTTCCATCACCACCATTATCGATATCCGTATCGCTTTCGGCTCCAGGATCAACGGTATTCGCAAACGCTGGCCATTAAAGAAGCGCCAGCCGAATGCCACAAAGATGCCACCGCTGCAACGGGACCAATTAAAGTGAGTACCCCTTATGTATAAGGGCAGGACACCCTACTAAATTTAAAAAAAAAACTTCTCAATTTGTCACATTTTACTTTAAAATAACCCTAAGATACGATACTTACGTTACTTTAGGGGCAATGTTATATTATCTTACCCAAATTTGGGGATCTTATAGATCTGTATCTATCTTAGCTTGCATAAGAAACCATATTTACCAAATAGTTTTGCTAGAATTTGAAAACCCTAAAAGTTATTCCTGAGTTATGCTCTTAAAAATATGAAGATTTAAGATTTAAAGACCAATCTCTTTTTAGAATGATACATTCTTGAACAGAACTAAGAGAGATTTAAGCCTCTGTGATTTTAAACGTTTTCTTTAGTATGAGAGATATAACTTTTTAAAAATTAAAACCAAACCTTTCTTTTAACTTATGTAGAACTTTGAAATTCCTAAAGATAGTCTCTTTTAGTATTTCAACCCAAGGGAATTATGATGCATGTGTTAGGGTGACCAGCATAACTCATAATTACTTAATGCCATAACCGAGGCTTTCCACCAAATCGCGCAACACTTTAATTACTAGCCAATAATCCGAATGATGGCATTATAATTGCGGTTTGAGAGTGGGTGTGGGTTAGCCAGCCCTATAGACTGCCATAGCTTAAGTTCAGCAGTTTAAGAGGGCGCGCTTAGTCACCGCGCCTTAAAGTTCACGGAGAGGGTGGTGACCAGGAACAGGGAACAGGGGCGGGGGCAGGGGGCAGGGGGAGCGGCAGAAGCACATGTCAGAGCCCGGTTCGTTGGCCTGGCCGAGATAACTCGAAAAAAAAACACCGAGTTCGAGTTCGCCGCTCTCTGTTTATGAATGAAACGCAACGAGGAAGCGCGCGCAAATTCAAAAAAGTAAAGAGAGAGAGAGAGGCGAAGAGAGTTGAGAGAAATTTTCAGAGAAATGCGGAACAGAAAAAAATTCCAAAAACAAAAAATGTGCGCTCTTACTCTCGGACTCTCTCTCTCTCTTTCGCTCTCTCTCTCTGCCGCTCTCTCGCTCGAGTTCATCGACCTTTGCTATTGAAATTTTTGGGAACGCACACACAGATACGAAATACGAATACGAATACGAAACGTTGCTTATTTACACATTGATAAACAATCGTTGATGCTGAATGTCGATGACTACGATTTTGATGCCACTAAAAATCGAATTATATCAACGACTTTACGGATGCCCTTCTCTTCTGGCCATTTCGCCCATTCGTTTTCATTGCTTTCCATTAACTTCAATATGTGAATTCCGAAACCCGAATTGATGGTAATCAAAATGAACAAACTTCAAGAAAGGATGCGTTTTTGGGCAGAGATACAAAGATACACAGATACAAGATACATGACAAAGTTGTGTTAATTGTCCTTTTCTTCATTTTGTATTTATTTGTTCATTATTAAATGAAATATGGAATATTATATAGTAATAAAATAAATAGAAATTCAGTTTTTTCTTAAAAGGTTTTTTGGAAGCGTACTAAAATAGTCCATCCAATGGGGGCAGAGAAGGGGATCCAAAGTGCGGCGTTTTCCCCACCACAACTTTATTGGCTGGTTTCTTCTTCCTGATTGCCGATGTTTGTGTGTGTATGTGTTTGTGAGTAGCGGGTGGGTTGGCGAACGCACGATAACAACGCCTGGAACTTGGGGACTCTACACAGGGCGGTGGATCCGAGGGGGGTGGATCCAGAAAGAGGGTGAGAAGGGTGGGGGCTGGGGGCAGCGGTTAGGGTCTGGGCATTGGTATTGTTTTGTTTTTGCTCCCTGCTTCTTCGCATTACGACTGCCGCTTGTTACCAAGTCCCAAATGGCTCTACATTGGTGTATATGTATGGGGCACAGGGGTGTAGGCGGGAGTTTCTCAAGGGGGTTTTGGGATCCCAAGGGAACTCCTCATAGAATACGGCATCAGAATAATTAGATTAATTGCCCAGTATATTGGGAATACTTATTTGCCACGATTAGTTACAGAGTTCTTACATTTTCGGAATGAAAATCTTTTTCTGACCCTTCCGGCCCCCCCCCTCAAAACGCCGATCCCCCTGTGTGCGCCACTGGCGTTTTTGTGCAAGTGTGCACTGTATCTGTGTGTGTTCGTGCGAGGCCAATGACCAAAAATGTAGTGACAAGGGCGTCAGAGAGATTCCAAAATTTTGTGTATATTTCGCCATTACAGCAAAGAAACAAGGAAGAACCCGTAAAAAAAAGGGGCAACGCTTTATTCTGGTTTTCTGTCTGTCTTTTTTGTTGTTTTCTTTTTTCCCGTGATGTTTTTCTTTTCGTAGATATTTCTGGCGAAGCAGTGGAACTTACCCTGTCCAGAGAAACAAAACGGTTGAAACCTTCAAAATCGGTTTCAATGTCATGTAACCCCCGTTTTACATGGCTCACACGTGCGAGAAAGAGACGGGCAGAGAGGGTGGCAAGGTTGGGAGGCAAAGGTTTTGGGCAAACACGCGAGATGGGTGGCCGATTAAGGGAAAATTTTGGGAAATGCCCATGCAGTCAATCCTGCATCCTGAATCCTGAATCCTGAATTCTGCCAGCTGTCAAATGTCGAACACAACCTTCGGTGGAACATTTTCGAAAGCCCATAACTTGTTTCCTGGTACTGTGGAGTTGGAATAGAGAAGTTATCAAGGTCCAGACTTGAATATTGTTAGGAAAAATGACGAAGGGTGTGTCGAAATATAAATGGGCAACTTCCAAAAAAAGGAAGACTTTAAAAACAATTAATTCTCGAATCTTTCGTTTTGTTTTAAATCTTTATATTCCAAGTTTATCCATTTCTTATTTCGCATTTCATTTTGTAATGACTAATAATTGTCTCCGAATAAGACTCTGTATAAGGTTCCATTACTTAAATAATATATAAATTTCCAAGCGAAGCTTGTTCTAACTTTTCCTTTATTAAAGCTTTTGTTGCATACACACATGTGTGTGGCAACTTATTGTGGTTATCGCTTTTGTTTAATTTCATTTTGTTTCGATCCGATTCGTTTGGTTTCATTTTCTTTCGCCTTGCATTTTAATCAATGCCAATGAACTTGAAGTTTATTTAGCGCGTTACAGTATCTCCCCTGGCATAAGGTGCAATACCCATACCCACCTGAGAACTCCCTACGAAAACCTGAGAACTCCTTGCGTAAACATACTTATCAGTTCCGTTCCGTTCCGTTCCGTTTCGTTTCGTTCCATTCCCCGTTCCCCATGGCCTATACCATACCATTTGGTTCACAGTTGCTTGATCCCAATCGAATCTTGGGTTAAGTTGAAAGGAATGAGGAGGAATTTTCCTTATCTTTAGTTTGCCGTAGTACTTTTTTCATTTTGCCATTTGATAGCTGTGACATATGCATAGGGATGGATGAGTGATGGAAGAAAGGGGCAAGAGAAAAAGGAGGGGTCGTTGAAGTCGGTACTAGCCATGCGTACATACGTAATGTAAAATTGCCCAGGGGTCAGTGCCTCGATAAAGTTCTTATTGTCTCCCTATCGCTTTCCCCCTCTCGCACTCTCTCCTTCTTTCTCCCTCTTTGTCACGCGCTTTCTATCCCTTAGTCATGATTACTAATTATGTGCTGTTGGATTGATTGCTTTCTTATTCATCAGCTTCCCTCCCTCATCAGGAAAAAACTCAAAGCAATTCGAAATTGCATTAAAAAAGCTTGGAAATTATAATTTCCAATGACGAAGAAGAAGAGAATACTGTGTAACTCCAAAATCGTATTACTTTCTAATTTGTCAAATAAATTTATAGACATTTCCGTTTCGTTTTGAGTGTTACACAAAAGCGATCTAAAATTGATGTTACTTATACAACCTTTTCCAGGAAAGTGATCCATAAACAGAGGATTTTTCTTATTATAAAACGGGCGTCATTCGAAAGTTACGAAACGCCATTAGCGTATGTTCTTTGGAATTAAAAATCGACTTCCGCGTGGATTGCACTTTCCAAATACCTCGATGAATCATCTTGTTCGGGGTCACAATTGGACACCTTTTGTTCCAACCAATATGTGTTGGATTGGCCATGTGTATATGTACTTTAAGCTGGGCTGGCACTTTTCCTCTTAGCATTGTCTTTTTAGCGACTTTGGCAATTTCGGCCGCTTTCTTTGGCCAACAGAAGAAATGGAATGATCACGTCGCGGCCTTTGGACTCGCGACCTAAAGATCGCATGCTTATGACGATCTGTCAGATAAGTCCTGACTAATGAGTTACGCCGGGGAATGCGTGGTATCTGCCGAGATCGAGTTCCAGATTCAATCCCAACCGATCCGATGGCTGCGATCTTTCGCTGCTGCCTTTTTAGCTTTTGGGCCATTTTACTCCGCCATTTCACTGCCATTTCATTTCTCCAATTTCTCCACTCGGTTGTTGACTTGTTCGAGTGCGGAATACGAAAAGCCATTACTCAGTTTGCCCTTTCCCAGCAAAGAGGTTTATTGGCTGTGGTTGCAGTACGAGTAGAGGCATTTTGAAAATTTGGTTTGCAAAGGTAAATATTTAAATAAATATATTAAAGAAGTTTAAGCAAATAGTTCGACTAAATATCTTTTAAAAATGAATTCCCTAAATAAACTAGTAGTTAATTATAAATTTGGAAGTAACTTATAACGATGAAACATACCTCTATGTAACTTTAAGCATTTATGGAAATATATTTTCACCTTACATACATAATAATACATATGATACCTCAACTTATAACGTATTTGCAAATATGTTTCTGACTCTTATCGGAAGTTCGGGTTTCTCTTTTAATTTGTTGACTTTGTCTATGTTTTTTTTGTGTAACTGGCGAACAGTAATAACAATTCGCCCACACACTAACACCCACACACACTCACGCAAAAGAGGCACATCTATGTGGGAATGGCAATGTGTGTGTAAATAGCAGAAATAGGTACAATGTTCGTCCAATGACCTTTTACTTTTACACTACTCCCATTACCATTCCGCCCTCTTGTGTGTTTCTGTGTTTTCGCCCATGCTTTCCCCCTTCGCTTGCTGTCTCTTTCACTCGACTCGATTTTCGAGCAGATATGGTTAAATTAGTCGGTTTTTGCGGAATTGCGTAATCCGTTCCAATAATGACGTCAATTCCAGCTCAAATGCAAATTGAACTGCATGCAAATGGAAAAAAAATCTTTCCTCTCCCTCTCACACATATTCATAAGGTAAAAAAAGATATACGACAAAGATTTGGAAAAAAAGATACGAAAAAAATTCAAAAATGTTAAACGTCAAGTTTAAGTTGAAGTTGCTGCACACAGATACTCTCACGCACACACACACACACACACTCACACGCGGAAAGCGCGCACAACGAACCAAAAGGAAAACAACAACAAAAAGGGCACGTTCAGTGTGAATGACCGCCAACTAACACACATTTGTGAGCGCGCTAAAACAAAAGCAGAAGCAAAATCAAAAGCAAAAAGCAAAGCCAAAAGCAAAAGACATAAAACCTCACAGCTGCGCTGTCGGCGTCGGCAGAGGAAGCAAAGCAGCATTGCACAGTGGCGCTAATTGACTTTTTTGTAGTAATAAATCATATTTTTCAAATCAATTGAGTTAATTTAAAAAAATAAATGGGTTAATGCAGTTTTTGAAACAGAGAGTACTAATCACAGAAGTACACTTACAATTCGTCAACGTAAAAATTTAAAAAAAAAAATTGAATTTTTAATTGTTGTATGCTTTTTAAGTTAATTTCTAAAAATTATTCCATAAAATGTATTTTTAAAATTAAAAATATATTAATATTAATTTCCTGTCGAATGATGTGCTTCCAAATTTTCTAGGCCAACATCACTAACTTGATTTATTGCACGTTTTGTGGTCCAAGGTGCCACTGTGCGTCGTCGGGGGCAGGCAACAACAACAGAAAAAACAACTAAAAAGTAAAAATACAGCGCAGCAGAAAGTTGCAGCCGTTGCACACCCAACACACGCGTCAATTGCATTTTATCCACAAATATTCCATTCGAATAAGGTGGAATTTATAAGTGTAGGGTTTACATTTCCTAGGTATGAAACCTACTTTTAGTTTAACAAGTGGCCTAGAAAACTGTCTTATGTATAGGTTGGCAAAATTTTTTCCCAATTATTAAAAATATTTAGCGTCTTTTTGGATTTTTTAATGTGCGGTTTTCAACCAACAAAAAAATTAAGAAATCAAGGAGCCAACTTATACTGAACTATAAATGCAAGTTCGAAATCATTAATCAGAACGGACAAAAAAACACTGTAGGGTGGACCATTTTCACGGGGAAAGTGTGGCTATTCAGCTTTCCTGCAGTTACACACTTTGGTCGCCTGGACGGGCCATGGAGGCCATGGACTATGTGGAGCTCATTGGAACTGCCTGTTATTTCCACATTTGTGCTCACTGTACAGTCGGCAAAGTGGAGTGTTGCTGTAGTTCTTGTTGTTGTAGTAGTTGTATTTGCCTTGCAAGAATAAATAAACAAGCCGCAAATAAGAACTACAACAACCACAGCGAGTACGAATAAAAATACAAATATAAAGAAAGAGGAGGAAAGAATAAAAACAACAACAACAACAACGTCGGAGAAGAAGAAAAAGAACCGGCAATGTCATTAAACCCTAAACAACAACAACAACAAAAGCTGAAACCAGAAGCGTTATGAAATAAAGAGCGAGAGAGCGAAACCGGCCGGTTGAAGAAAAAAAGCAGAAAAAACCAAAACCAAAACCCAAACAATTCTCTCTTACTCTCTCTTTCTCGCTCTCGCGATTCAGGTTGAACGACCGACCTAGCCATTTTGTATCTGTGTGTGCGCGCACTTGCGCCAGTGTTGGTGTGCCGTGGGGATCAAGTGAGTCATTTTTTTTTTTATTACTTTTGATTTGATTTCGTTTGTTTGCCTGCTTTTGGGTCCGCGCTTTTAACCTGCGATTGTTGCCCTTTTTTGAGTTTACCTTTCGTTGGCTACTTCGATTTTTGTGTGCACTTCCTTGTTGATCGCTGCTGCCGCCGCACCCACACACACACACATTCCATCGCCTCCGCTTTGCATTCGTGCGAATAAGATATTCTTTGTGCGCTTATCATAGATGGAAAGCAGTGCGAAAAGTACGTATGCTCCATGGGGTGGACCAATTGATTAGTACGTAGTTCATGCTATAATGCACACCTTTTGATGCAGAAGATACATTTTAAAAATGATTTATAAATAGGAAATGAAGGTCGGCACAAAAATCCCTATAGGCTTTAACATGGCGTATGAGTGATATTATTGGAATACCAACTATACAACCCAAAACTTATCAATGCTTGGCTTTAGATAGCCACCCAGTTCCACCCCAATGTTCCCCCACACACATTAACAACAAAGATCCGCGGTTCTCTCTCTCTTTCAGCCAGCTATTTTGCCATCTCGCTCGCTCTTTGCACGCATGTTGACCTTGACTGTGACTTTCATAAAATTGGTCGTCGCTGTTTTTGCTGTTGTTGCCGCGCTCTTGAGCTTTGTCATTGATGTTGTTGCTGTTGCTCTTTCTTTAGTCGCTTATGAACTTAATTCGGTTCTTTGAATACGTATGTATTTGGAGCACATAGAACTAAATTAAAAAAAAAAATAAAAATGTACTCGCACCGATTCCGTTAGTCTGCTGCTTATGGCCTTATCTTTTGGCCATTTTCAGCGAAATTTCTCACAACGCATACTTCCTGCCCCAAAAAGAAATCTCATGATCGTAACTATATAATTAAGACTCTGATTGATGTGTTTGGCAATGAAAAGAGTTGCTAGCTGGATGGGTCATAATTCTTTTATTTAAGATATATAAATATAAATGTAAGTATAACGCGTTCATCCAAAAAAAAAGTAGGAAATGATTTCCTCTTCTGTTTCTGGAGGAAATCATTCATCCAAAAAAAAAGTACAAAATGATTTCCTCTTCTGTTTCTGGAGGAAATCATTTGGAATAGTTAGGTCCCTTGGCCAAATTAAGCCAATCTCCCTTGTTTTTTGTTTCAGTATCAGTACACGCATCCAGTATTTTCTGTAAAGAGAAAATTAAGGTAATCAAATTAAATACATTTTTATAAAGTGATTAAAATTATAATATAAGAGCTGTATCTATTCTTAAATAGTAGTAAAAGACCAACAAATAACGATTTAATACTAATAATGTGTCATTTTTATAGGACATTTTATGGTAACTCAACTTAAATTTCTTCATTTTTTACCAGTGGTCAACAAACGATTTCTAGCCTTTTTCCACTTGCCAATTGTAAGCACACTCACACGCTTTCGGTCCCCCACACTATCTCACAAAACCCATACAAACACCTAGATTTCGGCAAGCTCGAAAGTCAAAACCTAAAAAAAAACAGATTTCTGCTGCGCGCTTTCTATGCGAAAGTTCACTGAACTTGCCCTCCATAACCAAAAGCCAAATAAAACGGAAAAAGATGGCAAAGCGAAATGGCTAATAAGATGGAGCTGGCTAGAGCGAGACAGGGCTAGCGAGTGGGTGGGTGGTGTTGGCAAAGATAGGGTGGTGGAAGTGGCCAAGAGGGGTGGTGGGGGGAGTGGCCAACGCATTTGCTCAGCGGTGCGCATCAATTTCGAGTTCAATGTCAAACCACAAAAACGACAACGCCGCAGTCGCAGTCGCTGCCTCTGCCGGCGTCAAAGACAAAGGCGTAGGGAAAGGGCAGGGGCGGGGTCGGGGGGATGTCACGCGTCAAAGGAAAGCATTAAATTTTGGCCTCTTCGCAAACACGCACCGCAAAACCACCTTTGTGCATCAATCTCTTCATTTGTTGTACTAAATTCCAAGTTATTTCGGTACTAATCACTTTTGCTTAAGATTTAATCAAGAAAATTGGTAGACAAAATTTAGGCCATGTAATTGTGGTGTAATAATAAAAAAAAACAGGTTGGAAAGTGGTAGTGACTATAGGAAAATGGACATTCCAATGCAAATAAATAAAACAATTTTTAGCCAAAAACTTGGAAAAGTTAGTGGTCAATTTGAAGATAAGTATATTTCTAACCAAATTTCAAAACTCATTAAATTTCAATGGGAACTTCAGTTGGAAGTGGAACGCGAAAGGTGGCGCTGTGGAATGTATCTTGCAGATTGTGGACTGTCGGCAGCGCTGCCAGCTGCGACGTCGACGTTAACATTGCCCGGAGGGCGTTAAACTTCACGGTCATGGCTTTTTCCTTCTGGTTCTCCCTGCTCCCTGTTCCCCCTCCCCTCCCCCGACCGCACTCTCCCCACGCTTTCTCTCTCTCCCTCTTGCTCTCTCTGCGTGTGATTGATTGTGACGCATTGCTGACCACTACGCACTCTCCTAGATTCTCCGTCCGCCCACTCCCCCCACTCGGCTATCTTCCTCCTTTTCTCCCACTCCCACTCCCCCTTTCCCCCACCCTCTTTCACACTTGCTGGAGGAGGCGAATGACCGATAAAAGCTAACCACGCGCCAATCATCCGACTGATAAACCAGGCGACAGCGAACAGTGAAGAAAATGGCAGGAATGAGCAGAAAAAGAGGGGCGGGCGAAGAAGGGGGCAGGGAGTGTTAAAGGCCTAGAAGAATCAGATACCAAAAGTTACTGTTGCCTAGTGTCAAAATCGAAAGATTACGAACAGAAACATTGACCGATTACCAATTCCCAAACCCAACACAAGCCATCGAAAACTTATGTAAGGAAATCCTCCAATAAAACAGAACTGTTCTGTAGAAAGTGGGAAGCCTAATATATATCTAATAACTGATACCTTACTATTCTGATTATGACCACATAGAATTGAATAATTGATTGAAGTATCTTTTTAAAGCAACATTGGAACCGACAAAAACGAAAGATTACGAACAGCAATACTAACCGATAGTAATTTTAACACAAGCCATCCAAAACTTATGCAAACCTCCTTAACAATATAGAGTTTGGAAGAAATATACCCAGTTACTTTAGATCCTAACTATTCTGATTGCTTAGTTATGATTATGATCTCATAGAATTGAATAATTCATTGAGGTTTCTTTTTAATACAACATTGAACCGACAAAAACGAAAGATTACGAACAGCAAAACTAACCGATCTTAGTTTTAACACAAGCCATCCAAAACTTATGCAAACCTTAACAATATAGAGTTTGGAAGAAATATACCCTAACTATTCTGAATGATTATGATCTCATAGAATTGAATAATTCATTGAAGTTTCTTTTTAATACAACATTGAACCGATAAAATCGATAGATTCTAAAACAAGCCATCCAAAACTTATGTTAACCCTCACAAATGAAATTCTTACCCAAAAGGTAATAATTGTTCTATAAAACTTGGAAAAACCAATGTATAAGTTAGTCAATCCTTAACAATGTAGAGTTTGGATGAAATATATACAGCTACTTTGGTTCCTAACTTTTCTGATGGCTTAGTTATTATTATGACCTCATAGAATTGAATAATTCATTAATTTATCCCATCAACGATAGGATAAACTGTGATATGCAGAAGGTGCATCAAAGTATAACTTTCGTTGATGCAAAATAACATGAGCAACGGCAACAGACACAAGTGGCTGGAGTATCCCAGGCGCGAATAACTCGATAACTTCACTTTAAAACGTGTCGCAAACTGCAGATTGCAATTAACATTAACTGGGGTTGGCTGGTGCTGGGTTCCGCCGTAATAGGTGGTTTGCATTGGCTCGGGACGAGAAAAGAGCGGAGCAAAGCGGACCCGTGTCCGTGCCCGTGCCCGTCGAGCATTCAACCCTAACCTCAGACAATGTTGAACTATGCACCAACACACGGGCAGAGGCAGAGGCAGAGTGCATCGGCGGCAGCGGCAGCGGCATCAGCCCTACATTTCGCTTCCCCTAAATACAAAAAAAAAAAAAAAAAATGCTGAATAAATGGGAATACAAAAAGCAGCGGCAACAATGGGCGGGTTGGGGGTGGGGGGTAGGTGCCCCAAGGGAAGAGGAAGAGCGGCAACGGCAACGGCAATCGGGAATGCCCTGTTGCCACATTACGTCACGAAGGAGCGACAGAGAGGGGGCGAACGAGGAAGGAAAGGAAAGGCCAACGACCAGCACACATTTCAGGCCGCAAAAAGGAGCGCTAGAGGGAGGGGTAGGGGGAGGGGTTCTCAATGTAGGGAGCTCACCGACGACGACCCTCGTCAACAGACAAGGGCCGGTCACGAACGGGAGCGAGCGAGACAGACAGCGCGCGCTGCCGAGTTCAACAACCTTCGGCGACCCTGAGAAGAGGTCAGCAACCCCTACGAAGTATTACGAGCCTGTGTGCGTGTGTGTTCGAGTGTATGGGTCCTAAAGAGAGAGAGCTCTCTCGCTCTTTGACAAACACACGGAAGGAATGGAGGGAAGGTGAGCATTAGGGTGGTGCGTGCTTCAGATTCTTCTAATTTAGGTTCCTTGATAAATAAATTTATGCATACAGGATAAGAATTGGGCGAAGCTTCCTAGCAAATAACTTGTTAATCCATAAAATAATCGTTAAATAACTAATTTATTGAAGGCTTTTTTCCAGGATAATAACATTTAAAATTTTTTAAAGTCATATGTCTGTGAATTAAAGATCATTTCTGCATCAATAAACATTTTATTATTATTGTAATAATATTATATTGCATCGGCAGGACAAGGCTATCCATGACAAAGGTCCACCCTAACGAGCAACATCTAGAGCGAGAGGGCTATAGGGAAGCAGAGAGAGAGAGAGAGAGAGAGAGAGGAACAGAGATGGGGAGCAAGCGGAGGAGCCAACTTCTGCTTCTACGTCTGGGGGTAGGCAAACTTTGGATGCGTTTGCGTTTGTTTTTTGCCGGTCGTTGCCCGAGAACGTTGGCGTCCCATCGTCCGACGTCACCGTCCGACGTCGGCGTCCCAACTTTGGGGTCGTTGGTGGTCGTTATCCTATATACCGAGAAAAATCTATTTTTATTTGCATTCGCCCGGTTGGCTTTGCCTTTAGTGCTTTGCTGTGTGCTCTCCGTCTAGTTTCAGGGAGGGGGTGTTTGGGTTTTCCTTCCTTTTTCAAGAGGGAGGGGGGGGGCAAATCGGGATCAGGGTGGCGGATATGTCCCACAGGATGAACCTGCCCTCGGCCAACTGTTGTTGCACTTGCCTCGGGGATGGGGTTCGATTGGATTGGCCTGCCTGGAAACAGGTTTTGCAACAGCGCTATTGGGTGCTCGGAAAAAGTCCAGTGACATTAAAGGTTCTTTCGGTGTTATAACATGGTTTGATTTTCAATTAATTGTTTGATCTTTAAACGGTTATAAATGGGGATTTATAAAATTAAAATATAAAAATGTATAATCCTTAGCTCTGTATTCATATACTGAATCACATTCTTTTATTTGGACATTAATTCAGGGAACTTTTTTGCTTGGCACATCTATAAATGTAACTTTAGTAAATTTATGATTACTTGAATCTGAAACTATCAACATTCCTTGGTTTCTTCTAATGGCACCCCCCTTTTCTACTTCGGTTTCTATTTTCCTAGCCGTCTGCGATCGCCAGACTTTGCAGTTCATTTTGTTTTCGTTTTGCAACCGACTCCTCTTTATTTTCTATTTATTTTTTCTCCTCTTCGTTTTCCTGGTGATGCCTGGCCCCACTGCATTGCGTTACATATTCTTCCGCATTTTTGCAGTTGCCACAGAGATGAAGTGCATGTTCAATATGGTAAGCCCATATAAAAAAACCTCTGCTGTTTACTGTGGCAACTAGATCGAAATATTCGAGACATATTTCTTTTTAATCGCAACTAAGTCAATATTTAATTTGAAATTATGTCCGAGTTGAAATCACGGTGTGATTTAACTTTCCGGGAATGTACTGCACCAAGAGGAAGAGACTGAGGGATAGAATTCCAAGCAATGACCCCACATTTGTGGCAGGCGGAGAAAGCAGGTGCCAAGATTGTACAAGTGGGCGTTGTAATAACAATAAGGGGCATACCCCGTCCAGGGGAAAAAGAATTAAACAAAATAAATCTAAATGGGAAAAATTCCATGCTATCAGCAAAACTATAATTTAAATAAAACCATATAACTATAGCTGAACATACTTGCTAGTTCATAATTTAAATTATTTTTTTTCCCCTTCATAAAAAAAATTTTAAATGTAAAAAGCTTGATCATCCATATGGTGAGATTAAAAGTTTACAATTGTATTCATTTTTAAATTAATATTTAAGCAAAGATACACCCTAAATTTAACAAATATCCAAAGTACAAAGAAAACTTGAAAAAAAGGAAAAAACAAATTAACAAATCACAACAAATGCATCAAAACGGAAAAGTAGTAAAAAGAGGAGGCCACAAATGCATGTGTGTCCATGAAACGTACTTTGTTGACCTTTCGCTGCCGCTGCGCTGCCTCGGCGCACACAACCATACAAAAACAACACATACAAATATCGTTGGGGTTAATGAAACCGATTGACACACAAACAACGCAACAACAACTTGCCCTAAGAAAAGAGACTCGCTCTTTGACTTCAAAGAGAGAAAAGCGAACAACTAAGAGAGTGCATTTTAAGAGATGCTATTATTTTCTAAGAGAACCATCAAAACAAAGGCAGTGCGCCATCTAGCGTAGAAACTCAACTATTAGCTGGCGCCATCTGCCATCCGCGGTCATCAAACATAAAGTGCGCTGCGGGTTGGGGTATCGGCTAAAGGCAAATTCATGACAGCAACCAAAGAAACTAAAGTTTTTCAGTAACTCCCACATATTGATAAGCATCTAAAATTACATATATTTTAATTAAAACTAAAAAAAAACCCTTTCTTTTCCTCTCTTTGCAGCCACCAACATTTTGTGCTTTTGCAAAGTCAACCTGTCAATGAGAAAATTGACGGCCTTGATATAAACATTATTAAACCATCTACTATAGATAGACTATATAGATATAGATCGACTATAAATCCAACCACAAATCCAAAAGTTCGAACTAAAGACCGATTTAAGACTAGCAGCAACGCCATAAATAATTTCCAAAGTGGGAGTAACGTGAGGTGAGTTAAAAAAAAGCTATTGCTTCAATTCATTTTTCAAATGGAAAGCTTAACGTAAGTTAATAGATTGACTTTGAAATCGGTGATATTTAGTCAAGATTAGTAATGTGTATTACCGTTTATAAATTAATAGATATGAAAACATTCATAATATTGAATATGAAAAATAAATTATTTTATGGCTATACCGATTGATTAATATTATTTTGTATTTTTATGACAGTTATTTCAAGAGTTATATTGTTCTAAAAATTGTTCACTGATTTTTTTCAACCGACTCACCTGTAATTGGAGTTTCCTGCCTTTTGAATTTGGTCAGCTGGCAGAACTAGAGCTTGGGGCTCTTTCTAGAATCTAGAAGTGTGGGGGGTGCAGATAGCCCCAGGCGCGCTCCCTGAAGGCTTGGTAAACGACAATGGTGTACCTGCTGGGCTTGAACCAAAAGCCATTCTTCAGACCGATCTGTGGAATGGAAGTTACTCAATATAAGATAAACCACAATGTAACCACACAAGCTTACGTGCTCGAACTGCGGCACGCGGTGGTTATCCTTGCCGGAGAACTTCTTGAAGATGCGATACGCCTGGATCAAACCAAATAGTCCCTGAATCATAAGGAGAAACAGCTCGAAGGCGTAGATGAGCTGCATAATCTGGTTCAGATAGACCAGGATGCGCCAGGTGTTGAACGTCTCGGCGATGGTGAGGACCTGGTCGTTATAGGCGATCCAAGTGTCGCTGACGAACAAATAAAATCCGGCCTTCAGGCGTAGAATGTACGGCAAAAGATTGATACAGTAGATATTAAGATTGACGGGCACCTCCAGATCTGGCCCCTCCTCGCGACGAACTCTCATTTTACATTGCTCTGGACTCTCCATGGTCAGCATGCTGATCAGCGGTATAATGGCGCCAATGCAGGAGCGGATCGCCACCCGCAACACATTGCCGGTGAAGGTCAGGGTTAGACGACGGCGCTTCAAAAAACAGAAGATACCTGTCTGTTCCCAATGAGCCGGAAATTCAATGCGTGGCCCCAGCTCCATGATGCTTGGCACCAGGACGAGGGCCAGATAGAGTAGCACGATGCCCACGTTGGCGCCGATGGTCGACTTTGTGCGTTGGGCCAAATCGTGGAAAAAACTATTCATCGTCGGCGGAGGCATGTTCCTCAGGCGTCGGGTGCGACTCATTGAGTTCCTCCTGGCCGGAGCACTGCGGCTGCGGTTCAACCGCTCCCGGTTGACCACGGCCGTCACCGAGCTCGAACGCATGGGCAAAAGGTCCGGCGACTCCTGTACCATTGCCATCCAATCATCCCCGTCCTCGCGGCGGGCCACATCTCCGGCTGCTCCCTCGTCGATGTTGTTCCGGTTGCCCTGGCGGGACTGGCGACATGAGGTCATCTTCCTGTATAAATCTGTCTTTTACGAAAGTGGTTGCGGCTGCGCAAATAGTTGGCGAATCTGTACTAAGCAAGCTTCGTTTTTTCAGGGAACACCACAAATTTACAGCGAACTGTGTCTGAATCCACGTGTTTCTAAAATGACAGCAAAGCAAGAGCACACAGTTATTACACCTTCAAATGCATTAAAAGTCTTGCATTCCACACGACAGCTCACTTTTTATATTAACTTCACTTTACTAAATTGAAGATCTTTAATGAGGCGTAAAAAAAGGCAAGTTGTCGAAAGAAGAGCGAGTTGTGGAATGAAAGAACGAAAAAGTTAGAATGACAAGCATTTTTTAGGGCTGCCAAATGACAGTTGCGATGTTGCCACCTAGTCAATAGAAATAGTTTTTCTTATGCAGCAGAAGCAGAATATAAAATGGAATGTAGAAAGGAAAGAAAAAAGAAAAGACAAAAAATGAGGAAAGAAAGAAAATAGGAAAGAAGATGAAAGAAGAAAAGGGGAAGAATAAAAGCAGGAAAGGATTGCCAAATGACAGCTTTAGTATTGCCTGTCTGTGTAATAATTTTTCCATAATGTAAGAAAAGTGAAGCATAACGAAAATGAGCAGCACGTTTTATGTAGTACATTTGTATGTGTGTATATACAACCTAAAATATAAAACACAAGCCAAAATAAAAATGAGCACTTTTTTGGATAGAGAACTTAATTTTAAGTGGAATGTAGGAAGAAAATAGGAAGGCATGTAAAAAAAAGGAAAGAAAAAAGAAGGAAAGAAAGAAAAAAGAAGGAAAGAAAGAAAAAAAGGACAGAAAGAAAAAAGGAAAGAAAAGAAAGAAAAAAGGAAGGATAGAATAAAGATGGAAGGAAAGAAAAAAAGATGGAAAGAAAAAAAGAAGGAAAGGAAAAAAAAAGAGAGAAAAAAGAAGAAAAAAGAAAGGAATGAAAATATGAATATGAATATGAAAATAGTTATCCTTATACAGCAGGGTTTTAATTTAAAATTGAATGTAAAATAGGGGAAGCAAGAAAGAGCGATGGAAAAGGAAGAAAAAAAAATGCCATAAGAGCTTTAGTGTGGCCAAATTTTAATACAAAACAAAAATTAGCAACAAAATCCAAATGCAAGACAACAAAAATTAGCATGAATTTAAAATGGAATATAGGAAGAAAGGAGGAAAGAAAGAAGGAAAAAGGAAAAGAAAGAAAGGATTGCTAGACGCCATCTTTAGAATTTCCTTATATTGAGCAACCCTGAACAATTTCGCTTCAAACGTCAAAGTTATGAAAAGATTTTCTTTTTCACGTGTAGCCTCATAAATATGCAATGCCAGGAGGCGAGACGCCAGAAGGCGGTGCAATGGGTGGTGCTCTGCCCCCTGTCGCCGCCTCTTGAGGCACACTCTAAAGTCCGTGACTTCGATGGGTGGCGACGTCATTTCCACATCGTCCCGTCCCCCACTGAACTTTTATGTAAGGCCGCCCCAAACCAGGCGCAGGAAGCACCACCCATTGCACCGCCACCCACCAGGGGCTGCTGTCCTTCAGTCTGCGAGTGCAACGAACGCTGCCCTTTAACCTACATAGCACACATACCTGAGGGGTTTCCACTTTGTGATGCGGTTGTATAGTTTTTTTTTTTTCACTAGATTTTGAATTTATTTTTCACTTGATTTTGTTTCACTTGCTTTGTGGAGAAGAGATCTGACCCCCAAGGGTTTTTAGATCGAACTGAACTATGCTACGGGCAGCGTCACAAATGAAAGTTAAATATGCCTAATCATGGCTAACGTGATTGGTTGGCTAGGACCTAAATCTATAAGCTGGTATTTATTCAAAAACGGAAGACAGCAGTATTAATTAGTGTTGGACTACGCATATCATGGTAACATTAATAAGTTTTTAGAAGAATTTCTTTAAAATGTGATTTTTTATATGTACTGTTCACAGGCATGCAAATTTGTTTAATTTATATCTGTTATATTTTTTATAAAAATATATAAAAAACTTTGTTTGACTTTATGTAATAAATACTCGTATCATTAATAATGCTACTATTTAACAAAAAATGACCAGCCAAAAAGTATGTATTATAAAAGTATTAAATGGTTAAAACTAAACTTATAAAACTATAACTGATTAGGGCTAAAATAAACTATTTTATTTAATTTTATGAAAAATTGGGCGCGTTCAGCAGAACAACATGATACCTGATCGCTGATGGGATTCTTACGATAGTTCTGCTGAACGCACATGATTACTAATCATGACGCAAAAAGCGTAAACATATTATTATTATCATTAACAATGAGTGAAATATCGAAAAGAATTAACAGAATTATTATTATAAAACCATTAATGTTTTAATAAATAAAATTTGTTTATAAAGTGATTGCTAAATAACGTATGACCAATTTAAAAACATTAACAATTTTTTAGGAGCAGTCTTTGAAGCAACATATTATGTACATATATGTTTTTTTTATGTATATTTTTATTTTTTAATAATAGGTGCAATCATAAGAATTTCTTTATTAGTGATTCTGTGCATTACACACTTTTAAATGAAAGCTATTCTTGGCCCCTGGTGTAAATACACATAATTTATTATTTATTATGTTTAGTGTCTCAAGTTACTTGGACTTGGGGAAGTTCCAGTGGGGAATTTCGACTATGTATATGCCCATTAATACATCTGCATGCGCCTATTACGCCATCGACAAAGAACAACAACAACAACAACAACAACAAAAACAGCAATAACAATAATGGCAGAACAAAAACAACTGCAGCACGGCGGCGACTGAAATATCTTCATGTTCATCGTCGCGTCGCCGTCGTCATATTGAAAGGGGGCTGGGGGTGGTGGAAAGGGGGTGGGGCTGGCGGTGGGCGGTGGGCGCCAACGACTTTGCCTTAGCTTCTATTTACATTTCGAAGCTCTGCCAGCTGCAGCGCTGCCAGCGTCGCTGCCGACGCCGCAGTCGCCGACGAAAGCGAAAGGCCATTGTCCGGAATTTTGTTGACCTACTAAGGCGGAGGTAGAATGTAAAGTACGGCTACACTGTCATTGCCGTTTCGAAGTCGACTGCACGCAAAAAAAAACCTATGAGAAATGAACTGTTTTATTTTATTATTATTTTAAAAATAGATAACACCCACAAAAATAGTAGTTTACCCATGCAATTTGTTGTTTATAAAATCATTTTTTTATCATTTTTATTTGTATTATTATTCCTGATACTTATTTAATCGGATGTTACTTTGAGACACATACTTTTCACAATAACTTAATTAGTTAAAAACAGTTTTGCTACGATTTCAATAGTGATGTCAGTAGTAATTTGTCCAAGGAATAAAACAACAAAATACATGATAATTTCATAAAAAGTTTGCACTATTTTAATTGCTAAATTCTATTTAATGACCCAAAAAATAAACCAATACAATGAAAACAAATTTTTGAAAATATTTTATTGAAATTTTTCTATGTTGATCTTACATAGTTTTTTTGTGTGTCGACTGAGAGCGCAAAAAGCTGGAGAGAGGCAAAAGCTCGCTCTCCTGGTTCTGCATGCTAAAAGTTTCACTATAGTTCGGGCAGCCAGAAATACAGTGGTCCCTGATAAACACAAAAAAACACTTTTTTTAAATGCCTAATATTTCAGAAAGTTCATCTTTTATTCCTAATATTTAAAATTCTTTCCAAAATGAAATAGTTTGTCATCTGGCCATCTTAAACATTTTTGAGTTCTAAGCAACAAATTTACAATGGTTAATCAATATTAGAAACATTTCTGAAAATTTTGCACATCAAAATCGAGTTAAGTTCTACAAAATATTTCTTTCGCTGAAAAATAGGCTACATTTATTGTTCTTTAAAAAACGTAGCCTACATCTTAGGGACAAATGTAGAATGGGCCCGGGTTCAACACTATGAATGATGCTAAAATTTTGCGATTATGTTTCAATTTCTGTTGTCAATTTAGAACATTTTATTTTGTTTAGATTAAAATAATTAGTTTTGTGGCCTACTAAACTTGAAAAAATATAGTGCCTGTAAAGCAAAAATGTAGAGTACTTTTTTGGATAACAAAAATCATTAATTTCATATTGTTCACCGCAACAAGTTTTTACTGTACCTAAAAAATATAGAAAAGCGAAAAAAACCGAACTAATGCCTTGCATTTTCGGTATCGAAATAGTAGGAAGAAGGGGAAACGTGAAGGGGAGCTAAAGAGGGGGATAAAAAGAGATGGAAAACAAGCTGACTGCGCAACTTTTTTTTTTACCTAAAGTCATTCACCTTTTGTTTGCTCTCTCAAACGTTCTGCTCAGAGTATCTTTTTAATAAATGTTTATTTACCACTCAAGCTCAGCTTAAAAGTCATCTCTCAATTCTCTTTTTTCAACTGCGCCGCTGACTTAACGCCTACACAAAAAAAAATTGGATAAAAAGAGAAATGGGGGGTTTGTGTGGGAGAGAAGGGTAATAGAGAGAGAGAGAGAGGGTTGAAGCAGCAATAGAAAACGAAGCGTCAAACTTTTTTTTGATTTTTGGATGGGCAATAAAATGTGTTGACCGTTCGCTTGTGTGTGTGTGTGTGTGTGTTAGTGTATCTGAGTGATGAGCGTGAGTTTTTTGTTTTTACTTTCTCTTGGCAAATAGAAAATGAATTACATGCAAGGCAATTAGAAGAGCTGCCAGCTGGTAACTGTATTTGTGTGCAAATGCAAATAAATAAATAATATTGGTTAGGGGTTTTGTTCAAAAAGATACATTTTAATGGGTCTTCAACAGGTTGAAAATGACACTTAACATAAAGAATGGGCTTTAGTGTAAACTACAATCTTAACATATTTATTTGTTATTTATTTTTTATTTGATTTAATATTTATCAATGTTTTGGCTATTATCTATTGCTTGCATTGGAAACTGTTTACTGGCATTCCTTCAGGTGTCGGTTTTTCTTGTTTTCATAAACAAACTTTGGAGTGCAATTCTGCTCGGGTGTGTGCAACCTATTCATTGTGCATTCAAAGCGGTTCACTTTTGCATATTCATAGTTGCGTGTGAATGATTCATAAGTTGCATTTAGGCAAACAAACTGCTTCTCTCTTCCGCTCTCTTTCTATCGTACGTATAGCCCTCTCACTCTTCTTCGCTGGCCATGCTCTGTTGCACAGAAAGTTCAATTTACAGCCCGCCGCCCTGCCGCCCCCTTTTGAGGTAACTTTGGCGAGCTTTAACCCAGTTTAAGGTCATTTCGAGTCAAAGACAAACATCGGCGAATGTGCTGAAAGAGCGAGAATCAGGGGGTATGTTGGGGGGTATGTTGGGGCTGGGGTTCATTGCAGTTTTTTGCGGAGGGGGGGTGGGTAATTGTGGGTGTTTTCTGGGGCTTTCGTGTGCAAGTACTGGCAGTCCCTGGTCATCGTTTGGCATTTGTCAAGGACTTTTCGGAAAACGCAATTGCACTGAATCGAATAAGCAAACTGACAGATGGTTTCCTATTTACCCGGGAAATCAACGTTTCCGTTAAGGTTAGGCTTTTTAAATCGAATAAATTTTATCAATTTTCTTAAGGAGGATGGAATGCTTCCCGTTTCGGCAGCGCATCCTATACAAATTATGGATTAAATTCTTTTTAAATCGAATTTCTTTCTTTAAGCTACATACTTTTTTGTAGAAATTCCAAGTGCGTATTTGCAATCTACAATTTGTATACGTATGCATGTATTGGTCGAAAAATAAGGTCATCACAGTCTTGACATTGCGAAAGCAGCGCTCTGATGACGAAGACATCGGGTCAAATGAAACCCCCTCCCAAATCCCATCCCATATGCCATATGCTATATGTATATACTACTTACACTCTTCTTATCACTCGACATTGTCAACGAATTTTATTCAAGTTTTGTGTGTTTCTTTCTCTTTCGTGCCAGCGTCGGCAGCGACGTCGGCATCGGTGATAATGAAATTGAAAATTTCATTGCTAATTGCGTTTAATATTTATAATTGACCTAAATACAATTTTGCGATTGGCATTGCCAAAAAAAAAACATAAATAAATAAGAAAAGAAGAAAGCCGCGGAACATGCAAAGCGCGGGGTAAAAGAGAAAGGGAGCGAACGGGGAGCACGACTTGGGGTGAAAGGGTTGGGGTTAGGGGTTCGCTTGTGTCTAGACTGCCAGGGACCTCCAACAGTATCCCTTGTGAAAATGGGAGTTGCCCCCAAAAATTATGGGGCAGTGGAGTTAAAATTTTTTTTAACGATTACTCAGAATTATACAAAAAGCTAAAGCAAAACTTAATCTTTATAATATGTGTGTCTTAATGTAAAATTAATGAGTAACTCAATCTCTGTTAATGCAATCAGAATTAATGATACAACGAATATTGAACCAGTATTTTTTAGAATGTTTATTTCTTATAGAATTCACAACGCCCTAAACAATTTTTATTCTAGGGTATGCTTGTTCCTTTAGTCCCTAATTTTGATGTAAAAGTTAAAACTAATTCAGAATTTGTTTTGTCTATTTTTGACCAATTTATCACTTACAAAAAATATGATAAACCGGAAAGATCTCTCGCTTAAAGCTAAATATTTCTGATCTGATATATCTATCTATCTATGCATTTGAACAGTTTAAAGCTAAAGTAAAGATTGAAATCAAGATAAAATACTAGATAGTTGGTATTAAGTGTTAATGGAGAAAATTGAGTGATCATC